GAGGCTCCGTTCTCAAGTCGAAGCAACTTTTTGCGAACGGAGTCGTTCTTAACTTGAATCGTTCTTATGTAGGGACATTCTCAAGTCAAGGTACCACTGTACAGGTTTCTCAGAAGATAGATAAGGTGGTCAGGCACTCCCATTTCTTTAAGGACTTGCCATAGTTTGCTGTGGTCCACACAGTCAAAGGCTTTTGCATAGTCAATGAAATAGAAGTATTTTTTTTTTCTGGAACTCTCTGGCTTTCTCCATAATCCAGCGCATGTTAGGAATTTGGTCCCTAGTTCCTCTGCCCCTTCGAAATACAGCTTGTACTTCTGGGAGTTCTCAGTCCACATACCGTTGAAGCCTACCTGGAGGATTTTGAGCATAACCTTGCTAGCATGTGAAATGAGTGCAATTGTATGGTAGTTGGAGCATTCTTTGACACTGCCCTTCTTTGGGTTTGGGATGTAGAGGTCCGTACCATTTTTGTCCTTTATCATGTCTGTCTTTGTACAAAAGGTTCCTTTAATATCTCCAATTATCTTGAACAGATCTCTGGGTTTTTCCTATCTATTACGTTCATCTATATCTTTACGCTGTTCATTTAAGAAGGCACTCTTGTCTCTCCTTGCTATTCTTTGGAAGTGAGCATTCAATTTTCTGTAACTTTCCCTATCTCCCTTGCATTTTGTTTCCCTTCTGTTCTTTGCTATTTGTATGGCCTCGTTGGATAGCAACATCACTTTCTTGCATTTCCTTTTCTTTGGGATGTTTTATGTTGCTGCCTTCTGTACAATGTTACGAGCCTCCAGCCATAGTTCTTCAGGCACTCTGTCCACCAAACCTAGTTCTGTAAATCTGTTCTTCACTTTCACTGTGTATTCATAAGGAATTTGGTTTAGGTTATACCTGACTAACCCAGTTGTTTTTCCTACTTTCTTCATTTTAAGCTAGAGTTTTGCTATGAAAAGCTGATGATCAGAGCCACAATCAGCTCCAGGTCTTGTTTTTGCTGACTGTATAGAACTTCTCCATCTTTGGCTGCAGAGAATATAATCAATCTGATTTTGGTATTGCCCATCTGGTGATGTCCATGTGTAGAGTCATCTCTTGTGTTGTTGGAAAAGAGTGTTTGTGATGGCCAGCTTGTTCTCTTGACAAAACTCTATTAGCCTTTGCCCTGCTTCGTTTTGAACTCCAGGGCCAAACTTACCTGTTGTTCCTTTTATCTCTTCACTCCGTACTTTAGCGTTCCAATCCCCTATAATGCCAAGAACATCTTTCTTTGGTGTCAGTTCTAGAAGGTATTGTAAGTCTTCATATAATTGGTCAGTTTCAGCCTCTTCAGTATTGGTGGTTGGTGCATAAACATGGATTACTGTGATGCTGAAAGGTCTGCCTTGAATTCGTATTGAAATTCTTCTATCATTTTTGAGATTGTATCCCAGTACAGCTTTTACCACTCTTTTGTTGACTATGAGGGCTATTCCATTTCTTCTATGGTATTCTTGCCCACAATACGAGGGGGTGCTGATAAGTATTGAGCCTTTCCCAGAAAAAAAAGAGCTAGGAAGCTATACATTTCAGGGTACATTGGCGAATTTGTCTGTATTCAATGGTGCAAAAATCAGCCACCTATGATTTTAACTTAACTTTCATTTTCCTTTCCAAACTGATCATGGCAGCACCTCCAGAAATCTTCAATGTGGAAGAGCACAGGACCATAATCAGATTCCTGTTCCTCCAAGGGAAAGGTGCAAAGCAGATCCATGATGAAATGTCACAAACTATGGGTGACCGTGGCCCTTCGTATACAACAGTTAAATGTTGGGTTGTCAATTTTTTAGCTGGCCATTTTGGTGTTGAAAGTGAGAAAACCAGTGGGAGGCCTATTTTTATCTCTGTGCCTGCAAATGTGAAAGCCATCCATGACATGTTCATGAAGGACTGCTGAATATCAACCAAAAGTATTGCTGTATGCAGTGGTGCCCTGCTAGACGCTTACCCTGCATGACGTTGAAATCGCTTGACACTGACATTTTTTGCGATCGCTATTGCGATCGCAAAACGATGGTTCCAATGGGGGAAATCC